AGGTGTATCTAGGTCTCGTGAATGCGGAGTTTTGTAAAAAAGGGTATGTTTAGAAAGAGAGAGAGAAGCTTTAGCTTAGAGAGAAAAGAATTAGAAAACTAAAGAGTTGATGATTGTAGATGAATGTAGATCCATGAAAACGGAGTTTTAAGGAGGCTATTTATAGAGAAAATCAGCAAAAAAGATAGAAAATCGAATCAGAGTTCTGACGTAAAAAAACAGAGTTAGCGCCAGACGCTGACATTAGTGCCAGACGCTAACGAGCACGAATAAACCACGAATAAACAAAATTTTGACAATTGAGGTAAAAGACAGAAAGAGTGCGGGAAAAACCTCAACTCTTCCAAATTTCGAACCCCAAACCCCGCTCTCTTCTCATTAAATTATTCCACATTTTCATTATTTCTACACTTGTAATTTTATTTTTAAATTTTTCTAATATTCATTCTTCCCTTTTTCTTCAATTCGTCTTCTTTAATTAATTCCCCCAATTTCCAGATTTTCTCCGTTTTAGGGTTCCATCTTCTTCAATCTCAGTCAAATTTTTGGGAAAGTACCTTGATTTCAAATTCTGAATTCTAGGGTTTTAGCAACAATGGTGAAAGTAAAGAAAGAGAAAGGAAGTACTAGTAAGAATGCTGCTGCTCCTGCTACTGTTGTTGATCGAGAATTGAGGAGTCGGAAAAATAGCGCCGGTGATTTCGCCGCCGTAGAGCGGAAGCCACGGCCGCCGTCGCAGCGGCCGTCGCAGCGTGGAAGTGTGGAAGGAGAAGAGGAGGAAGAAGATGAAGTTGTTGTTAGGAGAAATCTTCGGTCTAGATATCTCGCCGTCAAGAATTTACTATCTGGTTTTTCTCTGTTTCTTTCTCACTTTGAATTTTGGTGTTTTATTGGTGTTTGTGTTGTGATTCATTGATTATTGAGCTAACGAGGTGAATGGAATTGGTAGGTGGAGCTGATGATTTGTCGCGGCCGGATTCCGATAGATTCAAGATTATGATTGATGAAGTTGAGAGTTTGCATAAGAAAGGTGTTCATTGATTTCAACTTTTAACCTTCTTTTATGTTTTTGTCAATTGTAATGCAGTTTTTATAAAATTATGCCTTTTGCTTTTATATGAAATTTAATTATTTGAAGTACATTGCTTATTAATGTCTTGATTTTTAAATGCTGTGACATTTTTAGAACATGCATATAAATTAATGTGAAGTACATTGCTTAACAAATGAAGTACTGGTAATAGGCCAAAGAGGGTTATTACTGTGATTAAAGACTGTTGTTATCAGGCTCAACATTAAAAGATTTCGTGGGGAAAATATTAACATTGGCAATTTAGCCAATTTGATCGATGTTTGGTTCTACCTGGTTAGGGCTTAGGGTTCTCGTAAGTCGCAAGTATTGTGAAATTGTAGGTTTGTTCAAGGGCCTTGAGTGACTAGTGTAACCTATATACTCATTATTTTGCTAGTGTTATATTTGATGTTTGATAGAATGGGCTTGGATGTATCATGTATGTAAAGATGTAGTGGGATAGTGTTTTAGAGAGTCCATTAAGTTCATGGTGGAACTCTTTGACTGCGTTTTTTGGGCAATTTCTAGAGCAGCAAATTATGCACTTTGTATGTGCTGTGCTTGCTTTTATAAAGAACTTATGAGGCGTTTGTTTGATCGAGGGCCCGAGGGGTAAACACATAATAGAAAGTTAAGCTGACGAAGTGCTGTAATTATCTGGATATTAGTTACATTTTTAATAGCAATATAGGAGTAATTTTCGAAAGCTCAGGACATAGACAAATGAAAGCATGAAAGTCCTGCGGAGAGGCAGAGAGTTAACATAGATTGGGAGGAGATTTGATTGCTAGATAATGCTCTCTCTCTCTCAGTGGCAAATTCTTAATTTTAGTATAACTCCAATGAAGTCTCAATGCTCAAATATTCATACCAAGATAATTAATCAAGACAAAGGACAAATTATGCATTAATCTTGGTTTACATTTTGTATTCTCTATGTATTGGTTTCAGTTCGGAAGCCTAGGGAGCAAGTGGCTGATGCAGAGGCTTTATATGACATTACAAGCAGTTTTGTGAAAACTGTTAGGGCTCAAAAAAATGAAGGTGTGACTCCATCAGATTTTGTGTCTTGCCTGCTTAGGGATTTTGGTCGTCAAGGTGGTGGTGCTACGGGCAGTGTAGATGGTTCCGGGAACACGATACTTTGGAAAGACATTGGGCTTGCAGTTTCTCAAATTTTCAGAAAAGGCACTGGATGTTGTACCATGTTAGTTACTTTCTGCAAACCTTTCTATTGATCCAAAGGTTCTCTACTATTTTATTTATCTAGATTTCACATCTGCCTTTGTTAACTTTCCAGGCTAGGGCCTATGTCTTCTGAACTAAAGAGAAGGAAGACTGTAGTTCGGAAAAAACATGTCAAGCCAACTGATACTTCACGGCCTGAAGAGGTAGGGACTGTAGAGCTGCCTAGTTTGTTAATTGACCTTTTTAATTCTTGATTGTTAGGGAGAGACAGGTTGATCGGTATATTCTTAGTTGATAGATATTATTGCAATGTGTTTTGCATATTATTCACTAGATGTCTGTTTGGTTTTATTGCAGCTTGATAGCACTGTGGAAGAGAAAACTGATACAGACAAGAATATGTCAATAATGTTTGGCATTTTGGGGAAATATCGAAGGGTTCGCCTTGAAAATTTAATTCTGAACAGAACATCTTATGCACAGACAGTGGAAAACTTATTTGCTTTGTCATTTTTAGTGAAAGATGGAAGAGCTAAAATCACTGCAGATGCGGATGGCCATTTTGTTTGTAAGAGCCGCAGCTGATCAACTGATTTATATCTATGCACAAACTATCTCTATGATGCACTCATCGCCTCGTCGGCTAATTTTTATTTTTTTGACGGCAATGCTAATGTATTGTTTCTTTCCCTTTGGCAGGCCCTAAGAATGCTCCATCTGCTGAAGATATCACATCAGGCAAAGTTGCGTACAGTCACTTTATCTTTAGATACGACTTCAAGGACTGGAAGGTAAATATGCAGTTCGAACCCCGTGCAGCTGCTATATTGTATTTCCCATCTTTAATCCCGCGTGAATTTCGTTGTATGGATTCCTATTTCAAGGACTGGAAAGTAGTGATTCTGCTTATTTTCTTACAGAAGCTGAGTTCCATTGAATATTAGCCAGTTTGCCTAAGCTATGTCGATTAGGCCCTAGTTGCACCAATCACCCAAGTTTGCTGTTTGATAGTTTCATCTAGTTTCACAGATGTGCTGCTTGATCTTTTAGAAGTAGGATTAGCATGTAGCTCAACCTTTTTCCAGCTACCAACACAGGCAATTTGTGCTTCTCTCATTATTTTGAAGCTTGGGTTGGAATAATCCGAGGCATAGTTGGCTGGAAAACCAAGCATTCAAGTTCATGGGATTCATGAACCTTTATGAACAAATATTCACTATATCACTACGTATCTCTGAAATTCTGATTAAGGTGTTAAAGTTGGTGAATTTGTCAAGAACAACAAACATATTTTATAGTATTTCAGCATGCTTGTTACGGAGTACAATATTAATGGTTGCTGTATACCAGTAACTTAGCTGATTCAAGGATGTGCTATAACATATCACTTGTTTGATTTTACAGTTGATGGTGGATTCTGTTGGAGAAAGCGAGGAGCTGATGCCACACAGGGTTCCGGCAGATGCATCTGCTGATTCAGAGCTACCAACTGTATCAGAAAATGAAGTTCCTGAAAAAGCTGCTACACTGACCCCAATTAGAAAATTATCAAGAAATCGGGGTCGTGTTCTACAAGAACAGATTGTTGAAGACTCACCGGAGAGCGACGAAAATAGATTAAGAGCTGATTATATCAGAAAGGGAAAGCGCAGATTAATATGAGACTTGGATGAATTGTACAGCATCTTGATCTTAGGCACCTTCATATATTAAATTTTAGATTGTCTATAATCATTTTTAGTTTCATCTAATGCTTCAGGTTTTGGACAAGTTTAACTAATGTAACCTAATTATTTCTGAAGTGGCTGTCTTCTTTACAGCCTACATGACTCTATCTATTGTCTCATTTGTTTGCCTTTATGAGATTTGTTGTACCATGTTCTCTAACGTCAGCTAATATTAAGTTGATATGTTCTAAATTAATTCATATGTTTCTTTTATTAAGTTTGACTACGAATAAATTTAGCTTAAGCAATTCTAATTATCAATAAGTAAAAATTATAAAAAGTTAATACTTTGAAAAATAAAAATACACAGTGAGAGGAAATATGTTAAGATCTTACATGATTATATTTTTCTTACTCGTATAATTTACCAAAGCTACTCAAAGAGATTGTTCTGATTTACTAAACAGAGTTAACTTAATTGAACTGATTAGAGGTGAACTGAAATGAATTGTTTATTAGAGAAGGAAACTAGGAACTGAATTGATTGGAGCTGAACTGAAATTAAGTTGAAGAGAAAAGACCCAAAGTGGTCATACTTGTATTAATTATTTATAACTCTCAAGATCAACCAAACATTTTATCTGCCTACTATATTCTAATTCATACTTGTATTAAGCTCATACATTCTATCTTTACAGAAAGAATAATCTCACATTTTAATTGATCAATTAGAATCAATAAAGTAATTATAATGTTGCCTAGAATTTTCTTGCAAAAATATAAAAAATAATTTTTTTTTTTTTGGCTCAACCAACCAAATTCACCAAAACATAACAAGTAGTAGTACCCTTAATACGGGCTTGGGTGATACAACCCGCCCCATAACATCACGCCCAAATCATCAATCCAGCCATTGGATTCTTGATATGCTCAATCAAGATAGCACGTGACCTCCCTTCCACTTTGATTTTTTTTTTTTTTTTTTTTTTAAATCAAACCGACTTTAATTTCCCTTTTTCTTAATTTATTTATAGATTTTTTTTGAAGAAATTTTATAAATTTATTTTTGAAAAAAAAAACCATAAAACTTCCATTTGCATTTCCTCTCCACCTCTTCACCTCAAATATTTTCATTTTTTTTTTCAAAAAACTCTTTAAAAATTAGAAAAAAAAAAAAAAAAAAAAATCCAAAATCCATTATTTTTTGTAAAATCAACCTCAAGCGCTCAATATTCTGTCTCCTAGTTTCTCTCTCTTTGAGGCGTTTCTTCCTCAACCTTTCTTTCTCTCTCCTCCCCAAACTTTAAACCCTAGTTCTGCTAGGGTTTCATTTTCATTTTTTTCACTCATTTTTTCTCAATCATTTTCCATTTTATCTAGGGTTTTGTCAAATTTGGTATTTGAATTTGTAATTTTTGCTTAAATTTTGTTGGGTTTAAAGCTCGAAAAATTCAACTTCAAATGGACGGCCGAAAGAGAGGAAGGAACAACGATGCTGGTGCTGTTCATTCTAATGGCGGATTTAAGAAGCATAAGCAAGGTTTGTTCATTTCTAGAAACTTCTCAAGTGTTTGAATTAATTTCTAGAAACTTCTTTTTTGCTTTTCTGTGTTTCTGGACTTGGATCTGAACTTAGAAGCAAGAACTAAGAGGTTATTTTTTTCTTGTTATTTAATTGGTAGAATTATTGTTAGAAATGAATAGATTTTTTACCTTAATAATTTTGATTTTATTTTAGTTTTTTCAATTCTGTGAGAAGGTACTAGATTAGAAAAATCTCTGATTTGGGATTTTGTACAATTGATTTTCTTTGTATAGAAAGAATTATGAATTGAGTTTTACCCAACTGATGTCACTATTGTGATTTGTACCTAATTTGGGAAAAGGGTTACTATTTAGTAGTAGCCCATGTGGATGCATTTTTGAATTTTTTTTTGATGTAGGAGTATTTTCTCCGTTTCACTCTAATAGGCCACATTTGTGTAGTTTTGAAGTATTTAGTACTTCGTCCGTCACACCTTAGTATTAGTAGGCCACATTTTTTTTTTGGGACGTACTAGAATAATTGGCCACTGTATTTATATATATGAGTGAGTTATGTGATAAATTTGAGCGAGGGAGTAGAATTTAGCTGATTTGTGTTATCACTCGTAGTATATTTTTGAAGTGTGATGCAAGTGATTAATGTCCTGTATGTGGCTTGTGTGAAATGATTTGTGTGCAAGCTCAAAGGATAGATTGCCTGCAGTTTATTTTGTGTGCATATGCTGATTTTGCCTAGGATTTTTAAGATCGTTATCTGTTTTGTTTAGAGAAAAATGAAGTAGGCAAATTTATTTTTATAAATACAAGACTTTAGAGCCATTGCAGGGAATTGCAATTCGAAAAGCTAACACTTTTAAATATATAGACTATAGAGTCAAGCTATCATAGGTCTACAGTGCATATTATCTAGCCAGAGCATATAACTTGTGTTAAATTGTGTCTCATGTGATGAAGCTTTGGTTTAGTAGTGTGTTATTATTTTCTATTAATTACATGTAAAGTCCCTTCAATTAAGTATTTGATTATTTTCAACTTCTTTAACACAACGAAGGCAAGGAAAACTCACAAAAAATAATTAATGTTTTGTAACAGAAACGGATGGTATAGGAAGCAAATCAAAGCCTTGCACCAAGTTCTTCAGGTTCATATCTTTATCTATTTAATAAATATCAACATTATAGCGTATCGTTTCTAAAATGTTTTGGTTATTAACTTGTCCAATCGAACAGATTTTACGGTCCATAAATATATAAATTACTAAGCATGCAAGTTATGTAAATTGTTACATATTCTATTAATCTCTCATTCTCTTTGCTATTGTCAATGCTTTTAAATTTCTTGTTGTCTTTCATGTAGCATCTTCATTCTTCTACATTTCTTTTATCTTGTTATTTTTCAAGTTAAGATGCAATGCACATTAATTTTCTGCCTCTATGATTGGGGTTTTTACTTTTTTTTTTTTGTTTTTATAATCTATAGTATTTAACCAACTAATTTTGCTTCTATTGTTAGAAGAATATTTGACTAGATTAGCTTCATTTTCATTTTTCTGATTTCCGGAGACCTCTATACGCCTGTTCCAGTTGCATTATGAGTTTACTGTTTCTGCTTATTTGGCTATCATTTCTGTAACATGAACTTGGGTTTTTCTTTGTGAGAATTTAGCTAATTTTAATGGAAAGTAGTTTATAGTGCATTGGTTCTGAGACTAATGAGTATGTTTGTTGCTCACGATGTTGAAGATTTTGATTGGAAATTTTTGAGTACATATTTATGTTTCTTAATTTCACCAAGTTTATAGCTCTCATTAATGTAGTCTTCAATTCAATTATATTACTGCGGGCTTTAGAGATAATAAAAATGGATATAATTTCATAATAAAAATGAGTGTGATCTATTCAGGTGGTGCAAGAAGTAGCCTATCCTTGTTCAGGTTCAGTCATTCAGCCTTTCAGGGATAACGTTTTGGATTATTTATTGATGTCATTCTCACTTAGCTATGTGATATGAATATACTTTGCCTTGTGATACTTATACTAGCTTTCTCTTGCTTCTACCACCTTGACAGTAAGGAAAATGTATAATTTCATTTTGTGATTGAAAGTATGCTTTTAGTTGTAAAAAAGAATTATGTAATATGATAGAGAAGAAAATGAATTGAATGAACTATGTGGCTTCCTTGTAAGAAGACCATGTTGTTATGAACTGGAAGTTACTTGAAGATGAATTAAACCTTGTATCTCAAGGAATTAGGTTCGAAATTGAAATCTTTTAGGTCATATATGGTATATTGAATTTGTTTTGTAGCTTTACTGATCCAAAGTTGCTTGATGTCTATAGTGATGTACTTGATTGGGGAAAGTAACCTGTATGCTTGACAATATTACTTGTCAACTTTAGTTTATCTGATCACAGTTGATCTTTAGAAGCAATTTTCTTATGTTAGTAGTCTCACTGGATTTTAGCGTACTTTGGTTGATTAATGTGGGTTCAATCAAGTTATATTTTTGGTTAACCATGTTGAAGTAGATGTTTTGTCTGGCTGTATTCTTCTGAAATGAATTTTCAGTTCCAATTGTGTGGATTCAATTTTAGTTTTTTTGTAATAGTCTCTCCATTTGTTAATCAAGATGTGCTATATTATTTTCTAGCACCTTTTTGGTATCCTTGTCCCCCTGGAAGAAGTGCTTGTACTTGATTCTGTAGAGGGTGTGAAAACTTTGGTCTGAATCAGTTGGTATTGGTTCCTGCACTTTCATGCTTGCTTAATAATTGTGTGCTGTTGCTGTAGGGAAAGGATCCCCACTCTATTTACAGGAGACTGCTTTTAGACGAGGACTACTTTGTTTATGTGGTCCTCTAACTTGTATCTTATGGAACTTTAATTTAGCTACTGAATCTTATTGTGTTGCAGTACATCTGGATGCCCATTTGGAGAAAATTGCCACTTTCTGCACCATGTCTCTGGTGGCTACAATGCTGTTGCTCAGTTGATGAACCTTCCGCCCATGTCAAGAAATGCTCCACCACCACCACAACCCCCTCCACAGTCACACAACGGCTCTGCTCCTGGCGCTAAAACCCGCCTGTGTAACAAATTCAACTCTGCTGAAGGGTGCAAATATGGCGATAAATGCCATTTTGCCCATGGTGAGTGGGAACTTAATAAACCTGTTGGTCTACCATCCTTTGATGATCCTCGTGCTAGGGGGGGTCATCCGATGCATGGACGCTTTTCTGGGCGACATGAGCCACCTGTTCCCGCTGGTCTTGGTGCCTTTGGCGAATCAGCAACTGCTAAGATTAGTGTTGATGCCTCCTTAGCTGGGGCCATCATTGGTAAGAGCGGTGTGAACTCGAAACAGATTTGCCGTCAAACAGGTGTGAAGCTTTCGATTCGGGATCATGATTCTGATTCAAACAAGAGGAACATTGAACTTGAAGGAACCTTTGATCAGATCAAGTTGGCGAGTGAAATGGTACATGATCTTGTAGCAAGTGTCAGTGCAAATACTCCCTTTAACAAGGCTCCTGGAGGACCTGCACCCCATGGACCTTTCTCAACTAATTATAGGACCAAGCTTTGTGAGAACTTTACAAAAGGTTCATGTACTTTTGGAGATAAGTGCCACTTTGCTCATGGGGCTGCCGAGCTACGGAAGTCTGGAGTATGAGTCTTTGCGGATCCCAATTTTGTTTGTTGGGTTTTCAGTCTTCATGATGATGGGTTTGTGAAGCTCTTAATCTTGAATATGGCTAATCCAATCTAGACTCTTTTTAGTAAAATGAGGTTCAATGATTCCTAGATGGCTTATTTGCTGCTTGTCATTACTAGTTTGTTTTCCTTAGGTTTTGTGGTTGGACGATACTTGTTTGCTTTTCCCACCTCTAATAGATAGAATTCTGCTAAACATGGGAGGTAATGGCTGGTCATTACATTCAACTAATTACTGTCAAGAGAAGATAGACAGAAGGTAAATTGCTGCATGGTGTTGTAATTCACGTTAGAGCTGTCATCAGAGTATAATCAGACACAGGCTGTATTTGCACTGTTTTTGGAATAGCTATGTCATGACCATAGACTGTCGACTCCTTTCATTGGCCTAGTGTATGTTTAGAATATATTTAGCCGCTAAATCTCTATTTTCATGATCGTACTTGATCTACTTGCACATTCATTAGCATGTTGTGGATGCAATGAAAGTTAATTTATTTAAACTAATTATGTGGAATCCATGTTCATGGCTTATATGTGAGCAGCTTATGCAGTTTCGCTCTGGTTTTTGTTAGCAAAATGTAGGGAGAGCAGGTTTGCTTCTGATGTGCTGTTTGAAAATTTATGCTGATATGCTGTTTGAAAAATTACGAAGTTTGAGAATGTTTGTCCAATGGTCCTCAATACACCTGCTAATAGAACACACGGATAGAAGCTTGTTAATTATGTAGACATGACTCAATGTTTAAATGTTAAGTGCTTAAATTACTGAGTCAAAATACTCTACTCGAACCTGAATATTTGTCGACTCCATCTGAATTTACGCAACTCGAAAAGTAAATGAATTGATACTTCATATATAATCTATAATACAAGTACATAGGACCTTGATGTACGATCTACAGTGTCGTAAGATCAAAATTACAAACATTATTGAGCAGTACAAACATTATCAGTTTTTTTTTTTTAGTACAAACATTATCAGTTTGTCTTCCAGTTGAACTATTTTCGTGAAATGAACCTTTTGAAAAAAAAAAAAAAGTTGCTCAGAACATTTTTACAAGAACATTAATATACAATCCAAAGCATCAACTTGCCATATCATTTAAGGGGTTCTCTCTCTTGAACTCTAAATGTCAATTACATTGATTGTTTTTGCGCAAATGATGGGATGACCATTCGACAAGTTGACATACGATATACAATGAAAGAGTGTAGGTGTAGGAAGAACTTTTTACAACCAAACAATGAAAGATGCAAAGAAACAAAACAATACGATTCAAAACAAATTGCTAAAAGAACAATATTACAAAAGAGGCCACTAATTGCTAGATTGAAAGGTGAGATAACCTATGTTTGGGTATATAGTTCCCCCATTAATTGAGCATACTTTAGACCAATATGAACTATTTGGCTCTTCTTGTCCACTTTTGTTCTAACCCGTCTAATCATCATGCCAAATGAGGTCCAAGCCCCACCATTAGAAGGTGTTAATCAATCGGAAAAAGTTATACATTCTTCTTTTATACTCCCTATCTTAATATTTGGAATCTCTTTGTAAAACAAAAATGGTCAGGTGTAAGGATTAAAAAGTAACAAAAAGAAATATGTAGTATATAATTTGTTTCTTTTTCAGTACCAAAAATTAAACTAAAAATAAAATGATTGTACTCTACAAACTTGACTCTAACAAAGTAACAAGGGCTAATTAATAAACTTTTTTTTTTTTTTTTTTTTTTTTTTGGTGCAAACGAGGGGCAAAGCCCCTAACAAGCAAAAAACAAATAAACTTAAGGAAAAACAAAACAACAAAAAGAAAAAACAAAGCAAAACACAAGGTCACATGCTCACATCATCGGAACCATCCGGGCCCGAGAGACGCCACTAAGATCCTCCAATAAAACGGCAAGAAGATCCTTCGGGATCGCCTCTATCAAAATCATCCACTGCTCCAAACGGACACCATAATTAGCAAGCCAATCCGCTGCCATATTAGCTTCCCTATAGCAATGACCCAATAATATGAATTAAGGTGAGTTGGGGGGAGTAGGACTGGTCAAGATACGAAGAACAACTTCGGAGTCTACTTCAAGCATAATCTTTCGATGTCCGCCATTCCAAGCAATGGCCAAGCCTCGCATAACACCCAAAATTTCTGCTTTGGTACTCGTACAAACACCACAATTCACAGCAAAAATCTCATGAATCTCACCCCTATGCCCACGAATGATGCCACCAGCCCCTGCCTTACCTGGATTGCCCTTAGCAGCGCCATTCGTATTCATTTTCACCCAATTTTCTTCTGGGCACTTCCACCTTATCAACAGTTCAACTTTCTGCTTCTTACTCATCTTCGCACGCAGCAAATTTCTCTCCCAAGCCTTTTTAATATCTCCCACCCTAGCCAAAATAAAGCTCCCCTGATCGAAAGGGATTTTGGTAGTTTGCACAAACACACGCTCACACCTCCATTTCCAAATCCACTAACAAGCCACAGCGAAGATCAATGGCCAATCTTCACTCACACCTTGCTTACCATCATCCAAGTTATCCAAAATCCATTCTTGAAATTTCTCACCCAACAGATCTACATCATTTTTTCATCCCAAAGCTCTCCACACAATTTTTGCAAGAGGGCACTTTCGGAGAACATGATCTGCAATTTCCTCACTAGCATTACAGATTGGACATCGGGGATCTTCAGTAATTTTTCGAATAAACCAAGTATTATTAGTCATAATCCTGTCTTGAATTGCAAGCCAAATGAAGATCTTACTCCGTTGAGGAATCTGTAATTGCCAAATAAATTTCCAACCCTTGACTTGAGAGACAGAGGGGGCAGTCACGTTTCTCACAAGCTTCATAACTGAGCTAAGGGTAAATCCTCCACTTTCCGAGCCATTCCAGTATATGCCATCAATAGCAGCTTCATCATCAATTAACTCAAAAGCAGCAATCTCAGCAAGAGTTTCAGCAGGGAGATACGGGGCAAAATTATCAAATTTCCAACCAATATTCCCATCCCACGTATCTTTAACCGAAACATGCTGCATATCTACAGGGGGTTTTGGGTCAGCTATGTTGAAAAGAGTATCTTTTGAGGTCTACCTATGATTCCAAAAAGAAGTAGAAATACCATTCCCGACAGCCATATTAATGCCCTTTTTAAGCACATCCACGCTGCTAACAATACCTCTCCAAGCATTCGAGGCACCACTCTTATCCTTGAACATGTCAACATCACAACGGTTATTACAGTACTTGCTTCGGAGAACTCTTGACCACAAAGTGTGAGGCTCCGCTAACATACGCCATCCAAGTTTAGCCATAAACGCAACATTAGATTGTCTCATTGACTTTAGACCCAAACCACCCTCGTTCTTTGGCTTAGTAATAGTCTCCCAAGCTACAAGATGCACTTTGCGCTCCTGTTCATTCTCTCCCCATAAAAACTTCCTCATCTTTCGATCAACAGCATCACACACTGATCTGGGCAGCCTAGTAGTCTGCATAGCATACGAGGGGATCGGTATAAGAGAAGCTTGAATCAAAGTTGCTCTCCCAGCCAGCGACAAAGTCTTAGTTTTCCAACCAGCTAGCTTCGCATTAACTTTGTCTATCAAATATTGGTAGTCTTCCTTGGATGTTCTTCCATTAATAATCGGGACTCCCAAATATTTTCCTAGATCCTCAGTCTCCTCCATGCCGAGGCAATTACAAACACCATCACGGATATCATAGTGAACATTAGTCGAGAAAAATACTCGATTTTTCCACGCTCACTTTGCTGCCAGAAGCAGCTTCGAATTTCTCTAAGCACTCTTTCATAGTCTCAGCTTGATCAATAGAAGCTTCACAAAATAGTATCAAGTCGTCTGCAAAAGCCAGATTGGAGATTAGGGGACCATTTCTACTAGCGCGCACCGCTTTCCAAGTACCAGCTCTAACTTCAAAATCGATCAATTGGGCCAACCTTTCCATGCAAATCACATACAAATAAGGGGACAATGGGTCTCCTTGGGGAATTCCACGACTTGGACTAAAGGCCTCTGTTGGCTCACCGTTCCAAAGGACCTTAAGCTTAGCCGAGTTAATGCATTTCATAATAATTTCTACCATAAGCATAGGAATTCTCAATTCCATGAGTGATTCACGGATAAAATCCCATCTCAAGCGGTCATACGCCTTTTCAAAGTCTATTTTAACCGCCATATAAGCTTTTCCACTTTGCTTCTTTCTCATTGTATGAATCATCTCTTGCACGATCAAAATATTATCTGTGATTTGCCTTTTAGGAACAAAGCTGCATTGGGTCGGGGAGATAAGAGATGGAAGAACAGGTTTTAGCCTATTTACAATCACCTTAGTCCCAATCTTGTAGATGATATTAAATAGACCAATAGGTCTAAATTGATTTGCTTTTTGAGGCACACCCATCTTCGGTATGAGAACTAAGTACGCATCATACATTCAAACCTTCTGGAAAGTCCTTTTCATCTAAGATGTCGGTAATCAGCCTTGTTACACTTGGTTTAACAACTTCCCAATACTTTTGGTAGAAAAGTGGTTGGAAGCCATCCGGACCCGGAGCCTTAAAGGCTTTCATCGACATTAAAGCTTTCTTGATTTCACATTCCGCACAGGGTCTGGTAAGAACACTCCAATCATATTCCCCTATAGAAGGAAAACCATCTTGAAGTAACCTATGCCCAATAAATTCTCGCTGCTCCTCTTGAAAAAGGGACTTCCAATAATCAACCACTAAAGATTTTACTGCATTCAGTTCAGTAATCCATTCCCCTGCCGCATTTTGAAGTGTATCAATACGGTTACAGCGCCTTCTAATAATGGTAGAAAGGTGAAAATATTTTGTGTTTCGATCCCCATCACATATAGCATCCATTCTTGATTTTTGAAACCAAATAGTTTCTTCTTGATCTAGAACCTCTTCAAGCTGTTTACGAAGGTTGATATCCATCTTAATGAGATGTGGATAATTACCTTTTGCGAGTTCGCGCTGTGTCCCAGCCAACCGAGCTAAAAGCTCCTCTTTTTTACGAAAAATATTATGAAAAATGTCACGATTCCAAGCACTCAACTTCCCAGCAAACTCGACTAAAAATTGGACAATTGGTACATCATTTTTCCAATTCTCAATCACAAAATTCTCAAAGGCATCATGATGGAGCCACACAGCTTGAAATCGAAAGGGCTTAGTAGCAATCGGGATTGGAGGAAACCCTGTGGTACTAATTAAGATTGGGAAATGATCAGACGTGGTTCTTGGAAGGTTACGCAGAGCCCCCTTAGCAAACCGTAATCTCCACTCTTCATTAATAAGACCTCTGTCAAGTAGGGCTGGCAAACCCTGACCCGATACGAAAACCCGACCCGAACCCGACCCGAAGTTACTGAGAGAGACCCGAACCCGACCTGAACCGAACCCGAATAACCCGAATTCGACCCCATTTGACCCAAATTTCATATTTCGTAATAATATTAAGTTTTACACTATTTTTAATAGTTTCTAAGTATAACCCGAAATCGACCCGAAATCTGACCCGAACCCGACCTGCTGACCCGAATTGCCACCCCTACTGTCAAGTCTAGCTGACTTAAAAGTGTCAGGGGAGTTGCCTCTAAACCAAGTATGATCTGGTCCCGAGCAACCCATATCTATGAAGCGATTATTCTCAATCCAATTCGAGAACTCATTACAGCGTCGAAGCATCTCAGACCCGCCATTCCCATTCCTCTCCGATAGACTCACAGTATCATTAAAGTCCCCCGCCATCATCCACGGACCACTAAAAGAATCTTTAATTCTTTCCAATTCACGCCAAAGATCCTTCCTAAGAGCACTATTTGGGCTTGCATAAATTGCAGAGAAGAGCCAGGGGGTCTCTCCATTCTTGGAGATAAGGATAGTCAGATGCTGTGAGTGATTTCCATATGGAGTAACTGAAATTTCCTCACTTTTCCAAAATAACCAAATCCCACCACTAAAGCCTTGAGCTTCAACTCTCAGTTGTCCCGAGAAATTGATTTTTTCACAAATTTTATCCGCATCTACACCACTCATATGAGTCTCAACAAGAGCCATTATTGAAGGTCTATTAATTCGAACAATCTCTCGGATTGCCGAAAGCTTATTTCCAACACCTTGAACATTCCACACAAGAACTTTAATAGACATATTAAACATATGAGGAATAGGATACATATCATACACATTCAATGGAATGTTAGGCAGACATCGAACGAACTCCTCTCTCAGAGCTATCATCGGGCCAGCCGTCTCTAGTGGAAGTTGAAACGTAGCCATCAAGTCCGGTGGGTTGTGCGCCGGAGGAAGGTACGCTGTCACTTGAAGCTCCACTTTTTTCGCCAGAGGATGAAATGTCGCCATCACTGGGCCCTCCATCGGGCTGTCCACAAACGTTTCGAACATTGGTGGAATCCTGACCTCTAGGGTGATTGGTACATTGAGTGCCATGGCTATGGTCTAACAGCTTATCTAAGCAATAATTCTCCTCTCCACTATGGTTGCGCAGTTCCACAGGTGTAGAAGAGGCAACTTCAATAAAATTCTCCTTACCAGTCAGTGGATTTGAAGAATTTAGGGAGGACAGAGGATTTGGAAGATCCTTTTTCTTAAAAATTTTATTCCCCGTAGGATTTAGCTTCCTATTATATGGAGAAAGAGGGATACGGGGGATATTCTTATCTTTTTTATTAGATAAAGAAATCCTTTCCTTAATAGAATTATCTTTTCCAATCTTCAAATTAAGATTATTTTCCTCCAAATTATTCCTCTTGACTTGCAATAAACTTCCCAAATCAACTGTTGACTCAACCATATTGATATCCTCATCTACAATCGATGAAGGCACATATGCAATAGCATCCTTGTCTCTAAGTTCCCTATCATCCCCAAGATCATTAGCTGACTCCGAAACATGAGAAGCTTCCATTTCCATATCAACTGTTTTATTTCTACTTAGAACTTCACCATGACTAGATTCGTCAGGCAACACCTCCTGTTGAAGTACTTCAAATTGTGATCCTCCCTTCTTAACTGGTTCATTCGACACCTGAACTGGCACAGCATTCTTGACTATGTGAGACTTAGGAGTACTTTTAGTAGCCTTATTGTCCTTGACATGCCTGTCATATTTCCCTCCCTTCTGCCCTTGATTATGTCTTCTATTAGTTCTCTGAACCAACATCCAAGCCCCATATTTGTAAGTTTCCTCAGGCCTATTCACAAAACTGCTATTTCCTACCCCTCCGTTCTCAGCATTGTCAGTAGAACTATCCTTATCACCCCCTAATTGTACTGACTTATCCCCATTAGAGGTTGTACATTCCTCCTCTTTATGCCCAAGCTTTCCGCATTTAAAACAAATCATTCTAAGCCCTTCATATTGGACTTTCCACACCTTCCCATTCAATCTAAACTTCGACAATAAGGGTTTTGACAAATCAACCTCAATACTAAATCGAACAAATTGCCCTCGATCTTTCGACTCGGTATTCTTATCAATCCGAATAACCTTCCCTAACTTGGATCCAATGGTATGCAGAAATTGCCTATCAAAGTACTCCACAGACAATTGAGGGATTCTCACCCACGCTGTCAGATTTTTGATCGGTTCTCCATCCGGGACAAAGTTAGGGATCCATTTTCGGATAGTTAGATAGTTGTCACCGATAACCCATGGTCCCTGTGTGAGCACAAAGTCATAATCCGCCATATTGTTAAACCTAACAATATAATAGGCATACCCAACATCTGTAAGGGCAATGTCGCCCTTCAAATTCCACTTCATTCGAAGTTTTTTCACCAGCAGATCATAACTAAGTCTCCTATCGAAAAGCTTAATTATCAGCGCATTTCTCCATGGTTCCCTTAGTCGTCTTTTCTCCTCTTTGGTTAAAAGGATAGTTGGGCACCCCTCCTCATCAGAGTCACACTCTAGAGGAACATCATCATCAGAAGACCAATCATCATATTCCTTATCATTTTCAAACAGCGGATTGGACCTCTGGCTCGCACTTCCAGCAGCCTTCACAAAGGAAATTGGGTTAGGAACCCTAGATTCATTAGGACCCGACGATGGGTTAACAGCAGCCTCCAAAGGAGAATCCATGTCTACATCCTGATTAAAATCATCCGTCTGATATTCAATTCTTTTACACTTTTTATTAGATCTCTGAAGGAGATCTGCTTCTTCGCTCGCGCTCACTCTCACCCATGAAACTTGTTGCTTATATAAAAAATTAATTACTGGAGTTTTATTCTGACATAGTTTAGAACTTGGCTCAACTACACATGTCCAAAATCAACAAACTTACAAAACCTATTCACCTTAAAACTTTTATTGTGCATTACATTACAAATCAAAGTAGCAAATTAAAGCAATTAGAACAATCAAGTCGAGCTGAGTGAAATGACTCTAAATTTCAAAACTAACATAGGTGGTGATGGATTAATGAATTACAAGCCAAAGGAAACCTTTTTTTTTTTTTTTTTTTTTTTTTTTCTCTATTTTATTTCATACCAAAAACAACAATAGAAAACATAATACTCAGTATTATGCTAGATAAACATCAAAATACATACCTAAATACACCAAACATTAATTAAAAAGCATGAAAACGTGACACACCTCTTCTAAAAATACAAGAAAATGTCACTCACACCACACCACACTATGAAAAACAACTACCTAGCTAATCAAACATTATATCCGGTCCCGGTGTTAGCCCCTCCACCAGTTTGCCGATTTGTGGCCGCGGTCCTAGCCCCCCTACCAATAGGGTGAGCCCCAACAGCATGAGTCCCTTGCTCAACAAACCCACCGGCAGGCTCACCAGTACCATGTCCGGGCATAGCGGACATCTGGTGAGTCCCGGTGGGGAGACCAGTAGTACCAGTGGTGGAGTGAGTGTGAGACCCAGTAGTAGTGGTGGTAGTATGAGTACCACCACTACTACCAAATAAACCGGTTCCAGTTCCAGTTCCGGTATTTCCTGCAGCAGCAGTCTTGGCATTCTTCTCCGCAGCATTATGGCTCATAGCCTGCTGCTTATGAAGCTCGGCCTCGGTCAAGCGCTCCTGCTTCCTCTCGGTGGCCAAGGCTTTGTCGTACTCATCATTGGCTTTCATTTTATCGACCTTCTCTTGCATAGTCGCCTTCGTCTTGTCCATCCCTGATTTCGCCGACGCCGCGATGTTCGCGGTCGTCTCCTTGACGGACTCCACTGCTTTCTTTCCTGTCTGCATCTTGGATTTGGATCAAATTAACTGCCTGAAAATTATCGCACTCTTTGATCTATTTTTTTTTTTTGTGTTACAACGACGTTTAGGTATATTATGAGCTTTCTTTTTATGGTTGTGAAATTGGTATTGTTATGACTAAATAAGGTAAGATGGTTGTCCTTATATAATGGGGTTATTAGGAAGTGTAAAAGGGACACGTGTTGGGTTACATGAAGGTTAGAACTAGAGAGCTCCACGTGTTAAAGTACGTGTTGAGCTAAGGAAGTTGTTATGCACTTGTTAGATTTCTATTCCTCTTTTAGAGCTTTAATGGATATGTATCAATGTATGTATATGTATTAACGTGGGCAACTTGGCTTAGGAGTTTGGGTTTTTATTGTTCTTTCTTTGCTTCAAACTACACCGTGCATGGGTTGGATCGGAGCATGGAAGGAAAGTGTACATTTATTTGTTTCCTGTTTGTAGTGATATGCTTATACGAATAAGAGCTTCAATGAGATAATTGTTAGAGATTTAGTGAAGTCTTTGTAATAGGTGTGTCATTGAAGGTAGTCCTATATTAACACATAATACCTTCGTTAATTATTATGTGTAATTTTGGGATATTATTTGTGAGATATAAAATATTTTAAAGTTACACATAATATTTAACAGAGGTAATATATGAATCTACCTTGATGTTGGGAAGGAAGTATCACATTGGTAGAATAGAAAATATTATATAGTTTTTCAGCCATAATTATTTACTAATAACAATAATACATCATTGATAACTGTTATTTCATCCACAAACTAGATTTAGGACCTGTTCTTTTCACCTTATTTTCAGTTTAGTTCAATTCAGCTTATTTTCAATTCAGTTCAATTCAGCTCCAATAACTTCAGTTCAGTTTAGTAAATAAGAACAGACTCTTAGTGCTCCTATCTATAGACCACGATGACCTTTTGGTGAGTTATATAATCTTTTTTAGATACATAGATTCTAGACATGTTTTAACATAAAGTAATATTATAAATTTATAATAGATGGGTTTTTTAATTTATTTTTTAAGCTAGATATAGGAAAAAACTAGATTAGAATTGTCTTCTCATTTCTCACAAAATCGTGCCCTATCCTATTTTGTAGTAAAAAAATATAAAAACTTGTTACCCAACAATAAATCAGGGCCTGTTCCGATTGATTGAACTCAGCTGAACTGAACTGAACTGAGCTGAACTGAACTGAACTGAACTTATTAATTAGTGATTTTTAACTACGGATTAGTGGTCTTTGATTATTTATTGATTATTTATTACTATACATATGTGTATATACAAATGTACATATTATTATTATTATTATTATTATTAATTATTGATTATTATTATTATTATTATTATTATTATTTATTGATTATTATTATTATTATTATCATTGTTATTATTATTATTATTATTATTATTATTATTATTTATTGATGATTATTATTATTATTTATTGATTATTATTATTAGTATTATTATTTCAATTTTTATTGATGATTATTATTATTATTATTATTATTTATTACTTATTGATTATTATTATTATTATTATTATTATTATTATTATTATTATTATTATTATTATTATTATTATTATTATTATTATTATTATTATTATTATTATTATTATTGTTGTTGTCGTCGTCGTCGTCGTCTTCGTCGTTGTAATAAGAGCTTAAAAGAATGAAATTTGGCTTTATATCATTAGCAATATTATTAGACGTAAATTAAGAGTTGAACTGAACTGAACTGAACTGAACTAAACTGAACTGAACTGAATTTCAACGAAAGAGAACAGACCCTCAGTATATATCTTAATGGGTCGGAGTAGATATCCTAACGAGTCGGAGTAGAGTAATCCAGAGACACAATATAATTTGTTGATCGGTTTCTGTTAGGAATTGAAAGATGTATTGATAAAGGCCAAGAAGGAATCCAAGATGAATGATGATCTTGATAGATAGATTGTGAATAATACTCAAATACTTAAAGTGAGAGGATAACAAATATGTAAAATACAGTCGAGTGATGATAAACTCTAACTGTTTAAGTTACCAAGACAATCTTAAGGGAGGACAAGGTTAAATTAAAGTCTTGGCCAAAATACGGTTGTAAGAGTTAGAAAGCATGCATATGTTAATATTTTAAAGGATTGTGAAGGTAGGTTTGGAATAATATGATATCGATCCGATTTCGTTAATACGTGTAGATAATTTTAATCAAGACGTGGCGCACGCAGCTGATTAACTGATCCTTTACTTTTTGTATCAGAAAATATTATCATGGCTATGTATGTCAGGTTTGTATTTTGGAGTTTGCAGCCGTACATATCTATCTATTTATGGCATTTTTCCCTTCAATTGCATGGCTGTCCCAATTAGGATTTTACACGATATTATGTGCCAAATCGATGAATATTATAAGTTGTTGATCCTTGGGTCTATAATCTCTTTACAGTGCGTTTTTGGTGTGGCGAGGTGTGTGCCACATCACTAACCCCTCTAGTAATCCCTCAAATAACCCCACTTAAGTAATCTTTCAAGTAACTCATCAATAATGGAGGGATCTAATTTATTAAAGGGAGAAGGAAAATAGATCTTTTCAATTTCTCCATGCATTAGATATCCAAAAAAGGATGGTTCACCACGTCTTATCTTGTGTGTGTATTTGTTTTTAGAGAGCCATAACGGCGAATAATGAGAATCAATCCCATAATTCCTTGAAATAGGAAGGGAAGCTTTAACCACTTGAGACATCCCTCACACAATTTCCATTTCTCTCGCTCTATCTAAACACAATGCGTCTTAGTTTGTATTTAGGCCATGAATTGTGTGTATGGACATAAATTAGATTTAACTAGTCTTCTAGCCTGTGTAATGCACGGGTTGTTTATAGATATATATATAATACAAATTTTTATTTTACAATATATTTTTATTGGAAAACAAATAGCTTATGAAGGAGAAGAAGGGGTGAAAAATGAATGTAATTGTAGAAGATATTAAGTTGGGAAAAGTGAACCATGCAAACAACATTCATACATGTATTTATTTAAAGTGTTTTTTTTTGGCGTTGGTGAAAAATAAAATAAACATGTGACTTGATGGGGATAATGGTTTGTGTTTTTAAATGCTAAGTATAGACTAAGTATAGATATAGATATAGATTATCCTACGATGACTATATTTTATCACATCTAGATCTACCTTAATACATCAATATTCATTTAAAAAAACCCCTTATATATCAATAAAATAATACCCTCTTCGTGTTTAAATATAATTGTTACACTTACCAATATTGCGATCATATTTTAATAAGTGTTATACTTTTTTTTTGTTGGCAAAAAACTATATTTTAATACTAGTTTTGTGCCCCGTGCGATGCCCGGTTTGTTTATTAAATTTTGAGATAAATTTTAAATCTTTATTCAAATTTCAAAATATATATATCTCTAATACAAAATTAGTTTGGAATTGATGTGCTTTTGTAACAATTTAAACTATGTAGTACGCATGTAAATGATTAATAATAATATTGGTATTTTTTGTAGAGTTATAATCTAATATGTTTTTTTTTTTGAATAAAATTATAATTCAATTTATACATATGAAATGGAGTTATAATCTAATATTTTTTTAGGATAAAATTATAATTCAATTTAGGATTTTTTTGTGAAAAACTACCTTTTATATACAACTTTTTGTGAAAAACTACCTTTTAAAAAAATTGTTGTAAATGACTACCTCTTTTTTAAAAAATGTTGTAAAAGACTACCTATTACCGGAATCTGGTCGTTGACTTTTTTTGCCGGCGTTGACTAAGTCATGTGAGTAGCACGTGCCCTTTAATGACCCTTTTCCCACCCATTTTCCCCCAAATTTCACGAATTCCTCCCATTCAGCCCCTTTTTGTAACCTTAGAACCCTAATTTCTCGATTTCTTCTCCAATTCAGACCCAATCTGTTGAATTTCCTTCCAATTATTGTAATTTTTCCTTAAATCCATGTTTATCTTGCTTAATTTGTGCAAACCCCCTTTTCAATTGTTGGGTATATGCGAAAATTGAATGTTTAAAGCAATTGTGTTTTTATGAATTGATCTGATTGCGATTGTGAATATGATGCAGGTGTGATGGCTTTTCCTTCCAGAGACTAGTGCAATTGTAGTTTGAATTTAGGGAAGTTTGAAGTTTGTGAGAGGAATTTACAATAATTAATTTTTGAATTTGATTGTTGTTAGTGTACCGTGGTTGGGATGGTGGTTAGTATGGCTGCTACTTGCAGCTTAATGGTGTGAATTGGTGTTATTGTTGGTGGCGTCAAGAGGTAGAGATAGAGGGTGGTGGTGCGGTGATGGCGTGGGAATGTGTGTTGCTACGAGAAAGGGAAGATGCTACTGTGAGGATCGCGGTCTTGCGAAGTAGTGTGGGCTTGGATTTCGACAGGCTGGAGGTGGTTTCAAGTGGGGTTGTGTTGGTTTTGGGATGCGTGAGGGTGTAGGCCGGGGTGTTTATTTTGAGGTGGGTTGAGGTGTTGTGGTGGTGGTGTAGATGGTGGTGCATAGAAAAAAAAGAAAAAAAAAAGGTCATGTGACTGACACATGGGTGGTCAACGCCGGCGACAAAAGTCAACGACTAGATTCCGGTAATAGGTAGTCTTTTACAATATTTTTTAAAAATTAGGTAGTCATTTACAACAATTTTTTTAAAAGGTAGTTTTTCACAAAAAGTTGTATATAAAAGGTAGTTTTTCACAAAAAAATCCTTCAATTTATACGTATGAAATATTGGTATTTCATCGAAAATAAAACTCTCAACTAACAGTTTTATTCTAAAATTCTATCCAAATTTGATTGAAAATAGAAATCTAAACTAACTAATTTATTTTATGAAGTCTATCTAAGTATATCCAACGTGGCACAACATTTGGCGAAAAGGCACGACACTTGGCGAAAAGTTGAAATGTCATTGTTTCGTGACCTGACTAAAAGTTTAGCTTTATATATTAGTTTTATGATATGATTAGGAGAAAGATAAAACTGGATTTAACCTTGTATCTTTCTCCTTTTTTTTAAAAAAAAAACCTTGTATCTTTCTCCTTTCATGGTTTATATCCAAATTCATTACTCCCTCCGTGTTTTTTTTAAGTGTTACACTTCCCATTTCCGGCCATGTTTTTTTAAGTGTTACACTTCATTTTTTGACAAAAAGTTATATTAAAATATTATATCTCTCTCCACTCATTGTCCCCACCCAAACCCAT